CCCCAAAACCCCAAAACCCCAAAACCCCCTTAGGTAAGGATTTTTTAGTAAAACTTGAATCTGTAAATAATATTGATATTCAGTAAATCACATTTTTGAATTTAATTAACTTCTCTAATATAATATTTAGTTAAAATGGAACCATTACTTGATCCAGACAATGACAGAGCAATGAAAGATATTGTCCCTCCCCCACACAGGCCTATCTCTGATGATATACTCTATCCTAATAAGTGTATGCCCATAAATTATGTATCTAATATACCCATAGAAAGTAACGCACCGAATTGGGAGTTATTGAAAAACCACATGTACAGAGAAGGTAGGGTTTCTAAAGAACACTGCTAAAGAATTCTTAGAGACACTCTAGCTCTCATCAGTAAACATATTTAGTATAAATAGTTATAGAGAAGGAGCCTAATTTGCTTAGTCTGCATGATCCTGTTACAGTAGTTGGTGATATACATGGCTAATACTATGATTTCGTTAAAATGTTAGATGTCGGAGGAAGTCCAGCTAAAACCAAATATCTTTTCCTTGGTGACTATGTAGACAGAGGATCATTCTCTTGTGAAGTTGTTCTACTGCTGTACTCTCTCAAGTTGAATTTCCCCCAAACTATTTACATGCTGAGAGGAAATCACGAGTGTAGACAAATGACATAATTTTTCAATTTTAGAGCAGAATGTCTCTATAAATATGATTAGGAGATTTATGACTTATTTATGGAAACTTTTGATGCACTTCCTATATCATGTCTCGTAAATGACAAATTCCTTGCACTTCATGGTGGAATATCCCCAGAGTTAAAGACAATCAATGATTTGAAAAATCTACAAAGATTCTAAGAGCCCCCGAGAGTTGGGCTATTCTGTGATATATTATGGTCAGATCCAGTAGAAGATGAAAAGGGTTAATGCCCTTAAAGGTTTTAGTAAAACGATGTCAGAGGATGCTCTTACTTCTTTGGACAATAAGCGACAAACTAGTTCTTGCATAAGAATAAGCTATTGTCAATTTTGAGAGCCCATGAGGCTTAATTTGATGGTTATAAAATGCATAAATGGAATGGACCATCAGACTTTCCAGTTGTCATTACTATTTTCTCTGCCCCAAACTATTGTGATGTATACAATAACAAGGGAGCTATCATTAAATTTGAGCAGAACACCTTGAATATACAGTAATTCAACTACACAGCACATCCATATATACTACCCAACTTCATGGATATCTTTACTTGGTCTGTGCCATTTGTTGCTGAAAAAGTTGTAGAAATGTTGTTAAACGTACTTAAGCAGGGAAGTGACCTGCCAGATGAAGATGAAATCGAAATACCAGACCCATCAAAGCTTTTGATATAGGGTGGAGTGGAACAGAAATCAAAGAGTAAGTTACATTAAATTTATTAAATTGCTTTAGAAGCTGACTTGTTGAGAAATAAGGTGAGAGCAATGAGCAAGATGATGAAGATGTTCAAGACACTCAGAGAAGAGAATGAAAGTGTTGTCCAACTTAAGGGTATCTGTCCAGATGGTAAAGTACCTAAGGGTCTACTACTAGAGGGAAGTAAAGCAATTTAGAATGAGTTGGTGGATCGTTCAAAGCTTTTCTCAAATGCTAAGAAACTTGATTCCCATAATGAGGGAATGCCTTTCCAAAGTTAAGGTGGATCTCCTGGCTTTAGTGGATAAAATCAACTTGGAGGAAATCTTAGTAAATAATGAAAATGAATGACTAAATTTGCTCAATGTTTTGCCAAGTTGCAAGCAATTTATTTATCTTCTTGGCTTTGTTTCTTAGTGAGATCATTTTCTCACGCTATTTCTCATCTATATATTTTATCTTTCACTAAATTTAGCGCAATCACATCTTTAGGGGTTTTGGGGTTTTGGGGTTTTGGGGTTTTGGGGTTTTGGGGTTTTGG